AAGATTGACAAGGAAAATATATTTCTTGGTTCAAGCCATAATGTAATATAAAACTAACAGAATGATAATGTTTTTCCTAACTATTTAAAATAAAATATTGATATCTAATTATTTTCTTGTTATTCTTTAAATTCTATTGAATTAAGTAGTTATTATTTTTTTTAAATCTCTTATGACGTTTTGACAAAAAGAATTAATACCTATAATAATTTGCAATTGTTTCTTTATATTTTACATGCTTTCAAATGCATCTTCGATTCAAAAAATCATTATTTTTATTTCATTGCTTGGCAAAATCATACTTAAATAATATGTTAGCTTTTTATGATTAAGCAATTAAAAGTAAATAATTAAATATAGCACACATATTATAATTTTTATTTTATTTGAAAGCTTATATTTTACAATCACGAATAAAATTGGGAAAGCATTCAAAATAAAATAAAAAAAGAGAGAAATATCTTTAGGTACTCTTAAAAATATTCCTGTACGATGCGACCGCCAGCTATGAATTTTTCGCCAAAAAGGAAACCCCCATCTTTTAACAAGTTTTCAGAGTCCGAACAATAGACTAGCTCTCTCTACCCTAATACCTCCTCTAAGGTTATACCGCCGCTTCCAAAGCCTGCTTACGGCCTTCGTTTGCCGTGAGGTGTGTACTTACTGGGTAGATAATCAACATGCGATAAGATAAAATTGTTTTCCTGACAAACAAACAAAAAAAGACAAAAGAGTTTATTTAGTTTCGGTTAAATAAGAGTGAGAAAAGATATCTAGAAGATACAATCTCGATTCACGGGGCATCAAGTTAGAATTTTTAAAGTAACATTTGCATTTATTGCTCGTTTTCATTTGTCTGCAACAAATATGTCTGACAATTCCGTGCAGTATGTTGATGGCATTCCGATCCCTGCTATGTTTCCAGCTGATAAATTCCGTTCCGCACTTACATACAAACCAAATCCAAACGATCTTTTCCTCGTGACCTATCCTAAGTGTGGAACAACATGGACAAGCCTAATACTTCTACTTCTATTCCAGAAAGGAGAAAAACTGAAAGACATGGAAAAGTCACCCTTTTTAGAAATGGCAGGTAACTGACTTTTTATTGTAACGCTATCTTTTCTAGTGTTTCATCTACTATTCTAGTA